GGAAAGAAAAACATAAATTTCACTAACTAACATGGTAGAAGGCCTAGACGTAGATATAACAAATAAGAGGGAAAGCATGATCTTTATGAGCTAACAAATATAAGGCATGAATAACTAATATGGTAGAAGGCTTATACGAAAGTGCCACAAATGAGAAACGCTATGGATGTAGATATGACAACAAGAGGGAAAATATGATATTTGCAAGTTAAACAGATAGAAGGCGTGGACAACACAGCAACAATTGTGATAGAGGACAAAGCCGGAACAACAACGACAAGTCACATAGAAAAAACATAAGTGCAACAGTAACAATCCAAGGTAAAAGCATGAATGTATACATAAAGAAAAGACATCACCACATAATGTATATCCCTTGTCCTCGCCTGCACGGAAACACCCTTCGTGCCATGAACACATGATAGTGTAAATAACAACTCGAGGTAAAGGCATGAATGTATACATAAGGAAAAGATATCACCACATAGTGTATATACCTCATCCTCGCCTGTACGGAAATACCCTTCGTGCCATGAACACATGATAATATAAAAACATGATAATGTAAATTAAAATGGCACGACATCACCCTTCGTGCTTTTACTCTCATCCTCACATGATAATGTAAATGAAAATATGATAATATAAATGAAATGGCACGACATCACCCTTCGTGCTTTTACTCTCATCCTCACATGATAATGTAAATGAAAATATGATAATATAAATGAAATGGCACGACATCACCCTTCGTGCTTTTACTCTCATCCTCACATGATAATGTAAATGAAAATATGATAATATAAATGAAATGGCACGACATCACCCTTCGTGCTTTTACTCTCATCCTCACATGATAATGTAAATAAAATGGTACGGCATCACCCTACGTGATTTATACTCTTTCTCACATGATAATGTATATGCAATGGCACGATATCACCCTTCGTGATTTACACTATTCCTCACATGATAATGTATATGCAATGGCACGGCATCACTCTTTGTGTTTTACACTCTTCCTCACCAAGCACATATATATATATCAATAACAAGCAAGGTAGGAAGTACGAATAACATCAAGGAGAGTGTTTAAGCGAATACTCTAAATGAAGATCAATCAATGCTTTCAAGCCAATAACAATTCAATAAGCCTCAAGAACCTTATTGTTCAAGTATTTCAACAAGTCTCAAAAATGATCTTCAACTCAAGTATAGAATCCAATATCTTAAGAATAACGGTCGTAACGATGTATTAGTGCTTAAGCATAATGATGACCGAATTTAACACATCAATAGTTTCACAAAAATCTGTCAAATTTTAATCAAGTTATAATAAGCTAAATCTTGATTTCTAGCATTTAAGTTTATATTATTAGTAATCTAGAATTCAAGTAAGACATAAAACAAGAAGGTCACGTAATTCTACATGGCACAATTAATCGTATAATTTACCCCCCGGGCATGATTAACCCTGGCACATACATATACGCTCGTCACCTCATATATGCATCATCCCCACATGTAGCAAACAATGGCAAGTAGAAGAAAATATTTTGCCAACAAAGTTAGGCAATACACTTACCTAACACAAGCGATATCGATAAATAGAAGCGCCATCCTGCTAAAATCATCTTCTGATCGACTCGAAACTAGTCAAAAGCAACTCAAAATTATCAAATAATGCCATAGGAAGTAAACCCAATCGATAAAGGTCAAATCTTTAGTCAAATACTCAAAGTCAACTAAAATGTCAAACCTAGGCCCGCACCTCAAAACCCGACAAAACTCACAATATCTAACAACTCATTCAATTACGAGTCTAACCATATAAATTTCACTCAAATCCGACTCTGAATCGATGTTCAAATCCCAAGAATTCACTTTAGGAAGTTTAGACAAAACCTCCCAATTTCTCTTTAAAAATTATAATCCAAATGCCAAAACTGAAGATAGATTCATGAAATATAATCAAAACCAAGTGGAGAATAGTTACCCCAATCCTTGTGGTGAAAATCTCCTAAATCCGAGCTCCCGAACTCAAAATATGATAAAATTACTCAAAGATCTGAAATAGAGTACTTATGTACTCTGTCCAGTGGTACTCTACGCGATCGCGGTTGCACCCACATGATCGCGATGCACAGAAATGAACTCAGCCAAAAATACACTTCGCGTTCGCGGCACTACCCTCGCGAACGCGAAGAAGGAAGTCCCCAGCTCCCAGCTGCTCCGTGATCACGAACCTTTACTTGCGAACGTGATGTACCAATCTTTCAACCTTCCGCGAACGCGCTGCACCTCTCACGAACATGATGAAGAAACAACCAGAAGATCCCCAATACTCTATGCGATCACGTCTTTTCCTTCAAGATCGCAAAGAAAGCTTGAAACACCAGAACCAACAGAGAATTAGCTATGCCAAACATGAGCAAAAGGGTCCGAAATCAATCCGAAACTCACCCCGAGCCCTTCTGGACCCCGTTCAAATGTAACAACATATCCCATAACATAACAAAAACTTACTTAAGGACTCAAATCACGCATAAAAACCTCAAAATCACAAATCGCACCTCAAATCGAACTTAATGAACTTTTAAACTTTCAACTTCCAAATCTCGTGCCGAACCATATCAAATCAACTTGGAATAACATCAAATTTTGCACACAAAGTCCAAATGACATAACGAAGATATTCCAACTCCTGAAGCCAAAATTCAGACCAAATATCATCAAAGTCAACTTCCGGTCAAATTTATGAACATTCCAAAACTCTAAATTGCCAACTTTCGCCAATTAACGCCAAAACCTTCAAGAAACATCCAAATGCAAATCTGGGCATACGACTAAGTCCAAAATCACCATATGGACCTAACAAAACTATCAAAACTCCAATCCGGTGTCAAATACACAAAAGTCAAACTTAGTCAACTCTTCCAACTTAAAGCTTCCTAGTTGAGAATCATTCTTCCAAATCAACTCCGGATCACTTGAAAACCAAAACCGACGATTTACACAAGTCATAATACATCATATTAAGCTACTCAAGACTTCAAAAAATTGAACGGAATGCAAATGCTCAAAACGACTCATCCTCAAACGTGCCAAGAGTCGCTCCAAAGCCATCAAATCACTATGTAAACTTACCATGGACAAACCCGGGGGTGATCTCACATCACCCAAATCCATATAAGCATTTCAACACAACATAACTGAAGATCCTTATTTCAACCTTAGTCCATAAACCTTAGAACCCAATTTCCAACATCCGGGATGCCGAGCAAGACCTGAATCTCGCATTTACACATTGTATAAGTCTGAACAAGTTGTATCAAGCCATGAACATAACCCAAGATGTAATCACATGATGTACCACATAACTCAGGTACTCGCAACAATAAGTGCTGACCATCATAACTGCCCAAAAGCAAATCCAGTACTGGTAGTAAACCTCATATTAAATAAAACATCGTTAGAAACCTTCGTACACTGCTGATGATAAAAGAAACACGCAGAAACTTATAACCACCCTTCAGATCAACCAGTCAAGAAGCTCGCTCGTTTGACAAGATCCATTTCCCAACTTTCCGAAGGGAAAAATGGTATCTTTCTCCCTAACATTCCTCATCCCGAAACGGTAGTGCAAATATCAGGTCTAGGAACCTCATCTCTACCAATACAAGAAGCACAACCGACAAGTCACACCAAAGGTCATATGAAGCCCCACACAACACGGTTTCGTACACCAAACAAGTAAAAATTCAGACATGACAAATAATAGTAAGAAAGTTAAAAAAGAAGGCTATCGAGCATGTTAAACAGGTGAGGTAATATTAACATATTCCTATGAACTATTTTCCACAAAGTAGAGCAAAACACATAAAATAAGCATAAGTAATTACATCTCATCACTGTACAGTTACGGCGCGCAACCCGATCCAATCATATCAATGCACATAGGGGTACACATCGAGCCAAAATGCCCGGGCTCGCTAATCACATGCTCATCAACATCAAGCACAATATAGTGCACAAATATAACTGTGGGAAGGTGATTAGGCATATACAATATAGAGAAAGACAAGCACAACTATGGTGCAATAATCAACATCACGAGGGCCATCTCGCCCATAACGACATAAGGCCTAGACGACATTACAATATGCATGCGAATAATCATGTAACCTTCACCACCAGTCATAGAATAAGAGAGAAACACACAACATAGACCAAGGTGCAAATAACATTAATTCCGCCTGATGATATACATGTGGTAACAGCTGCGCAAGAGCAAGAAAATCTAATCTGATACAAAATACATATTATCATTAGGCTCACAAGTAATCCCCAAACCAAATTTCGATCATCCCCAAATTTTTGCCCTACCCATAGTTTACTCCTAAAAATTCACAAAAGTAGTTTTCTAATTGTCTTTGATTTTTATAGAATTTATCTTTATTTGTTTGGTTGTATTTATTTGCATTTGTGAATATTTAGGAATATCGTAAATCATGAAAGTCATCAAAAAATATTTAATCTTTATTTCATAGCATTTTAGGTTTTTAATTGCATTGCATCACTAAAAACAAAATCACAAAAAATGGATTTAGTTACTTTGCATTTTAGGTGCAGTTAATTAATCTCTTTTATTTTAATTTGTAAAAGTAATTGATTACTTTTAGTTGTTAAAATAGTTAAATGGGTCAATTTTGCAAATTAGTTTTAAAATTCGCTTTGTAAGGATAAATGGCTAATGTTGAAAATCAAAACAAAGAGGGAAAGGGGAGTTGATGGGTTAAAAACCGGAATGGGCCATTGTTTCAGGCCCAAACCTTCGCCCAAATCACTCCAAACTCGGTCCACTTCACCGGGACTCCGAGAGGTTACCAAACGGCGTCATTTTTTGCGTGCGTAATCTCGACCATTCATTCTTCTTGATCGAACGGCTGAAGACTAACCTTTCTTTCCTGTATAAGTGTCTGAACCAACCCTCACCCCCCAAAAAGCCTCTTAGAACACCCTTTTCTCTCACCACTATTTCTCTATCCAACACCGCCGCCGGAAATCGTCCACGGCGGCGGCCGACTTCCAAACATCCCAAAATTTTCACCACGTGATCTCCATCTCTCCCTCTCTCTTAATCTACCATCCGATTTTTCTTAAGGCCCTCACAGTTTTACGATTTTTAGATCTAAGAACCAAACCAAAAACCTAATTCACCCCCTTCTTGTTTTCTCCTAAATCTCAGCCTGCTCGAGGTCGAAACCTGCACCAATTAACCCTCCTCGCTATGTATTCCAATTTGGTGTTAGTATTCGATCCATTTCTAGGCCGCCAGAATCTTTCATATCTGTCAAATGCCGTTGAACCTCAACGGGTTTTGTCCAATGAAATACTTATCAGACATCAAGGGTCCAGATAAGTGTTCATTGGACAAAGATCGTTACTGTTCAACATTGAAATGCCGATGTTTCGAATCATGTCCTCTGCTTTTGGGTCTTATCGGCCCTGTAAGTTTCTTTTCCTTAATTTCTTTTCTTCATTATTGTTATTCACATATGTTTATATGTCGTGGTTTTAGGTGTTAATGTGTTAGTTTAATTATTAGTTGGCATAGTTTGAAAAGTAAAGAGGAACTGTTTGATTACATTGATCATTAGCCAAATTACGTAATTGCATATTCCAATTTGTTTTAATCGTTGTAATAACTATTGTTTAATTGGAGTTTGAAATTGATTGATAATGTTTTATTGATTATAGGGTATTATGAAATTTGGGCTTGCCTTGTTGATAGGTAGGCTCGTTGGATTTGATTTTAGGAACAAAGGGGCAGAAGGGTCGGCGGAAAAGGAATAATTAAAAAAGGACATGTTTTAGCAAATAAAAGAGTGAAGAGGACAGGGGTAAGCGGGAAAATAACAAAAGATGAGGGATGTAAGAGAAAGAAAAATAACTCAAAAGATTCTCTGCATTTTCTATATAAGAGAATACACATTGAGAGACTGCTCTTTCGTTCTTACTCACACATTCACTCTAATCTCACTCACACAAAAATTCTCACTCCTCTCATTCACTCACACACTTTACAGACTTGAAAGCTCTTCATATTCAAAGCTGTGAGTAAAAGCTTTAAAAATTCAAAAGAATCTTAACTGAGATATGAGATTTAGGATAACAAAAATATAAAAAAAGGGGGAAAGTGTAGAAAAGGGAATTTCAAAGGATGGACTGATTTCTGCTGCTTTGTTTCAACAATTTCTGGCTGCTTTGAGTCGATTTTGGACCTAAATTGAAGTTGTGATGCTTATTATGCATTGTTGAACTCTTCTCGTCTTCACTCTGCCTTAATTTGGCATTTCAGTGTCTGTTATTTGCTGAATTATGTGAGTCTCAAAATGCCTCTGTACTTATCATTTCTTTGAAGTGACAGAATTGTTAGTATTCATGCTTAGCTACCAGATCTGGGATACTCTACCTAGTATGCAGAGTTAATATGAATCTGAATATTGGTTGTTTATGTTGTGTTGATCATGATTAAGTTGCTAGTACCATATAATGAATTCATATGAAAATCTGTTAAGATATTATTATTTGTCCAGCTCAAGTAAAGTTCGCAATTGAGATTTTCAGGTTAAAAATGAAGTTGAAATAGTATCCATCTCCAGTCTCCATGTTCTGTTTAGCCCTTCATTAGATTTGGAAGTTCGAAGACGTAATATGAAAATATTCATGTGTATGTTGATTCAGTTAGATTAGCTTTTTGATTAGAATTTGAAGACTACTTTCCTGCAAAACTGATGGTTCTTGTATAAGAAAACAGACTTATATTAATTTCGCTCATCAATTCATTTTCTCGAATTGGTTGAAATTTTGTGTAATTGAGTTATTCTCGTTTATGATCATGTAAGTGATGTGAGCTTATGTTCTTTTAGATAATAGCGGCTAACCATGGACTGGTAATTCAAAAATAGTCAGCGTTTGCAAAGTCATTGAAAAATAGGCACTATTTTGCTGCAACACGGACCGGTCCAGCATAATATCTTGGAGATTGGAGCACTTGTGTATGAACTTCCAGCATATTATGCTGGACCGGTATATTATAGTGGAACTCCAATATATTATGCTGAAATATTTTCCGAATTTTGAACAGTGTTCTCGTTCAGATTTATCTTTACATGATAATTGGCTAAATTTTGATTACTTTTGAAACTATGACTATTTTCAATTATCACTCGTAAATCTGGCTATTATTGAATTTCTTCCCGATTTTGGGACTTGATAGTTGTTGAGGTAAACCTGTTTGATGGGCCTCGTCCTTGCATCCTAGGCCGAACTATGGCCTTTAATTCTCAGTTAAGAGGCCAAGGGGCTATGGGCTTTGTGCTGGGCCCACCTGTGGTCTCACACGACCTGTTAAAGGTCCATTGTGATTATGTAATCAATGTGACCTTTTGCACTATCATCCAGTTTCTAGCCCTAACGAGTGAAGGAGGGAGCAGGCGTAATTAATTCATCAAAGTACCATTAGTATTGACAGTAGATCCCCCTAGTAATCCAAATAGTTTATTAATATAACTTATCAAACCTTTCCTTTTCAATACTTCCAGTGGTTAAAGATGAGCAAATGTAGTGCTTTCAAAATTCCCATACGTCCACTTTATAAACTGTCATTAATGTATCTTTACCCATAATAACATTCCATAATTCTTGGACCTTTATTATAAAATCTCAAATTTAGTCTAATTAATTCCATGAATACTCGTTGTTGGCTTTAGGCGCATTTAAGAAATAATTCGTCATATACGTTTCCCGTGGCATAACTTTGACATCTAATCCCAAATTCAGGTGCACTCACGCGTGACTTGATCCCAACTTCAACTAATAATAAAATAAACATGTCGCAAACCACGGGTGCGCTTCACATGGCGCGATTTACAATATGTACAAGACGATAAGTGTACGATATCCTAACTTGTTCAAATAAATTTCATAAATACTTAAAATGGTCGAAACATATAGTTAAAAGCGGTATAAAAGGTAAATGCACATAGTTTCTAAACACGTGATATTTGGATAATTAAGCCGAGTTTAATGGTAAAGCGACCGTGCTAAAACCACATAATCCGGGAGTGCATACACCTTCTCTTGGGTTAACTAAATTCCTTACTCGGTCTTCTATATTTCGCAGACTTATACAAGTCAATTTTTCTTGATTTGGATTTAAAATAAATGGCGACTTGGGACGTCGTAAATAATTATTCCAAGGGCGGCTCTATAAAAAATAAATTAAATAAATTAATACCATTTCAAATAATGTCACTTAAATTGAAAAAATTCATTATCTTCGGAAAAATGAGGTGCGACAGTCATTAGTAATGCCTGAAGGAATTATTGAAGATGTGATGGTACGAGTGGGGAAGTTCATCTTCCCCGCTGATTTTATTATTCTTGACTAATTGGCAGATGAAGAAGCGCCTATTATTTTGGGGTGACCATTCCTGGCTACTGGTGGAGCAATTATAGATATGAGGAAAGGAAAGCTGAAGATGAGAGTACATGATAAAGAAGTCACTTTTAATGTGTACAAGGCGCTTAAAATTCATTATGAGGATTTGTGTATGATCTCGGTGGTAGAATCGAAGTTGATAGAGCAAGGTCTTTATGTGGAGTCTACTGGCATGGGAAAGAAAATCGAGTTAGAAAAAGTGGTGTTGCGAGCTGAATGTGTAAAGGTAAAAGAGAAAAGGGTCAAAGAGGAAAGAGGAGATCATCATAGAGCACGCAAAAAAGGCAAAACTCCATGGAAAGAGGAGGAAACGAAAGCGTCATGCTTGAGCAAGTGGTTCATGTCGTGCTGCGACATTAAATCAGACGTTTTATGGGAGGCAACCCATGGTGATGTTGTAAACATCATGCCATGACGTTAACTAAGGCGCTTGTTGGGAGGCAACCGAGCATGTATTTTATTTATTTTTATTCTTATTTTCTTAGAGTTTCGTTTTGTTTGTTTTTATTTTGCAGATTAGGGGAAGTCTGAGCACCCGAAGTTAAAGTTGAGGAGCATGTTTGAGCTTAAGTGTGGGGTCGTCTCGACCCTTAATATTGAGGATCGTGTTACTAACTAGGCCTTAGAGGGTCTTAGGGAGTATTTCTCATCCTTATTTTAATATTTTGCACTGTGATCCATGCAACGAGGACTAAGCATGAAAAAAGTGTGGGGTTGGGGAACTACTTTCTAAGTGTAATTGTATAATTTTTTTCTTTTTCATTAGTTTTTTTTTTGAACTCGTAGTTAGTAGTAGTCTAATTTAGAGTAGTAGTAGACAATCACAAAAAAAAGCTCGGATTTTTTTCCGACAATGGATCTCTTGGACAACTTTCTTGAGGGATTAAGGTCCGATTAAAAACACCAAAAAGATTTTTTTTTATTTTTTTAGGATAGTTAGGTAGTATCCCTTAGTTTTTCTTTGAGCGGTGGTTCTTTTCCAAGGGCGTAGCTTGAACTAGGTATTTTGGTTTTATCTTTTTAGGAGTAGGATAGGAAGAAAACTGAGTTGCTCTAGATACCTGTTGGCATGTTTGGTGCTGGTATATTAGGCTATGGAATGCGCTCTGTCTTCCTGTTATATTTGATTTGAATTGTGATGCCTAAGTAATATAAATAGCCTAATCTGTGATGCATGTTCTCAGTTGTTTGACTGGTATATCACCTAGTGCATTATTGCTTAAAAATTCTCAACTATATGTGCTTGCTTGACTTGAGAGTTGAGCAGAACTGTCTTGATTGAATCATGTGCAATGTGTGTATAAAGATTCGTGATATTTTATGATATCCTGTGTAGTCTAGAACTTGCCTTGTGTGTTAGTGAACGCGAAATCTTTAAGATATGCTTGTCTAGTTGATGAAGTAGGCAGTTCTTTGCTTGATCACAGATGTGCTTGTCACTTACAAAAAACAATTTCCCGTTGCTAGCCCTTTTGAGCTTATAGACATTTTTCTTGGCACAAACATTACAACCCATATCCCTAATTTTGTTCTTAACTTAAGCTTGTTAAACCTTTACCTCCGAAGACACGTAGTCGCTAAAAGAAGTAAGGTGAGAGATTGTAAAATAGCTTTCGAGTGGAATCATGGAAGGGTCCATAAGGTGCACTAAAGTTGTGAAGAAGCCACTAGCCGATGAACCTTAATGTATGGAGTATGTAGAAAAGAAAAAAAGAAGAAAAAATACATATAATTTTGATAGTCAACAAGAAAAAAAGAAAAATAAATGCCTCCTAATCTTCGTAATTCGTTCTAGTGGGGATATAGAAGTGCTTAATTGAACATGGCTATGTTGTGTATGGTTTGTAACGAGTGAATTGGTTGAGAAGAATATGTTCTCGATTCTTGAGTGTAGTATTTTAAAGTGCTTAGGAGGGTTAGTCACTATTCCAAAATGTATCATACCTGTCCCTTAGCCTACATTATAACCTATAAAGTCCTGGTTGATCTTAGACTTGGCTAGCTTAGATTAGTAGAGATGTATACTGCAGGGAAGTTTATGGTACGATCACGGGATGCGCATGAACTTATTTGTGAGAGTGAGCGAATTTTGTTCAATTGTGTGATGTCCTTAATTTATGTTCAAAGTGATATTTGAATGTGTGGACGATTTCTATATTCACTCTGTTGTTTATTGGTGGGGGCACATGATCTCATGACGGATTGTTAATATTGTTAACTTCTCTTGTTAGGTGAGTGCGCGAGTTAAGGGTGCTTAGTGGTAGCGAGTCGACTCTTGAAGTAGGGTGGTTAGGGGTAGGTAGTTTGAATTGGTTAAATTGAAATATTTATATTTGAGCATGTTTAAAATGGGAAGAATATGAATTTCGTATGTTCATGCTTGATTGCCGGTGTCGACCATAGCCGACGGTAGAGTGTATGATTGAAAAGATTGAATTCCTCCTCCATAGTTGATATGTAAGTTGTTGGAGTGTAGTTGATAGTTCCATTGCTCGAGGGCGAGCAAGAGTTTAAATGTGGGGTGTTGATATTCGACTTAAAGTATGTGTATTTTTATGCATGTCGCATCGCATTTTGCTCATATTTTGTGGAATTTGGATGTGTAATGTAATAATTTATTCTAATTCATGGTATTTTTATGTATAGGAGTCACCCGGAGGCAATGTGGGACGAAAGTACACGATATGAAGCAAAAAGAGAGCAAAACGAAAAAAATGGGTCAGTGTAACGCCCTGGGTAGTGCATCGCGCTACCCGTGGCACAATTTACAGATGTGAAACTTTTGGCCAATAGGCCAGCGCCAGGGCTAGCACGACGCGCTACTGTCACGACCCAAATTAACCCTCCGTAAGGTGTCATGATGGAACCTAGTATTTATGACTAGATAAGCCTAATATTACGAAAAATGTAAAGAAAACACAACATCTTAAAGATAAACAGCATATTGTGAATAGCCAAAAGTAGTACCACTCGGCATATACAAAATAATTTTCCAAGACCTGGAATATCACTAAGTCACAAGCTGCTATAATCTATGTAGCTCGATAACATAATCTTGCCATTCGTATCCGACTCCAAATGGCTTGAATCTATTCAAATAAATTGCACAATGTAAATATAACTACAAGTAACTAATTTATCTAATTAATTCGAAGCTAAAGCGTGAAATTAGAAAAAATGCCCAAAAAAGTCTCTCCGGGCCCACGTCTCGGAATCGGGTACAAATTATAAATTTTGAACACCCATTCACTCACGAGTCTAACCATATCAAATTTACTAAAATCCGGCACCCAATGGTCCTCCAAATCCACAAATCAAACTCCCAAATCCTCCAACTCCCAATTTCCAACTT